CCTGAGCCACTCCCACTCCTGGGGTGGCCAATCTGCTTGCTACTTCTTCGCCAAAAACTGCGTGTCCCACTCTTCTCTCTAGCCACCACGCAAACCACTTGATTACCTCTTTGGGTGCCCCAGCCTTCCTCAGTCCCTCCACAATTGCTTCGTGTCCCACTTGGCAGAACGCACTCTTGACGTCAACTGAGAGGATGTAATGGTGCTTGTGGTCTCGTCTGAAGTCTACTATCCTCTTCACTGCGTGGATCGTACTTAGGTGACGAAGATAAGCAAACTGGTGACCACCGGTTCTCAAATATGAGTCAATGCCAGGCGAGCGGTTCAAAAGCGTACGCTCAAACCATTTGCTGAACACTGATGTTAAGCTTATTGGCCTCCTCGATGAGATATCTCCCATATCCCTTCCCGGCTTCGGTATAAAGATAACTAAGGCCTCTCTCCAACTCTCTGGTACTATTGAGTATATCAGACACCACGAGAAAAGGCGACTCACCAGTGGAAGTAGTACTTGGTCCGATTCTAGTAAGTGCCTCCATCGTAGGCCGTCCTGTCCCCCCAGCTTGTCCTTGTTACTCTGTGCTGCTTGCAAAGAACGCTCAATCTCATCAGCGGATATTGGAGATACAACGCCATCATGGAGGAAGGTAGAGTTGTCATGAGGGTCTGGAGACCTGGTTAACCTGTACTCTGTCTGCACCATATTCCTGGGGGTTGCCGGGGTGCCTCCGATGTACTGGTCTGCGAGGCGCGAGCATGTGCTGGCCGGGCATGCATCCCCTGCTAGTAGGACCAGACAGCTCGTCGTGTTCTTAGTCTTGATACGCTTGTAGACTTCTTCAGCGGACTCGGCATTTCCCAGGGAGTCTAGGAAGTCATGGTAGGCTCTAGTCTTCTTCGATCTGAGTAGTGCCTTATACTGTCTGCGTGCCGCTACGATATCGTCCCTGGTTGCCCGAGGAGATCTCTTAACCTGGTTCAATTTCCTTCTCACTTCCCTCAACTCTGCGTCCCACCAGCAGTTTCTTGGCTTCGCTCCTTGGCGCCGCTTTCTCCCTCCTGTGTCTCTCTCAGTGTCCATCCTGGAGGCCTTTTTCGGGGTGGCCGCCTGGGCAGCTTCCACCAAGCCCAATGTTATATGCTCGAGGAGTGTAGCTACTGCCACCTCGGGACGTGTCCCTGGGGGAGGGTAAGCCCACGATGAATCAAGCATCCGGCTCGTAGCTTCTTTGTATTTCTTCCAGTCGGTGCGATGATGAGGATAATCTGCCAGCGGCGATGTGGGTATGGATCTCGTTCTCGGTTCCCCGCTCCTGGGGATGATCTTGAATTTTATGGGCCTATGATCGCCGAGGTCTTCCAGCCCACACACTACCTTCCAGTCTTTGATCATGACATTGTCTGTCGATAGTGTGAGGTCTATTATACTCGTGTACTTACCCGAGCTCTCCAAGTCCGTCTTCCGAGATATGAAGGTGGGGGTGAGGGGATCAGAGCGGATATTTCTCAGCACCAGGGACCTTTCAGTAATGAAGTCGTGTAGGGCACGACCGCGGGTCTTCGCTTGGGTATTCCCTCCCACAGCATGTGGCATTATTCCCCATGATTTATGGTGTGCGTTGGAGTCCATACCAATAACCACCTTAGCGTTGCCGAGTGTAGTGCTCTCAAGAGCATCGAGCAGCCTTCCAACAACCTCTGTAGCCTCAATAGACGAGCGACTAGAATCTATATACAAACTCACGAAATAAAAACCTTCAAAGAATACAGTGGTGACATCAGGAGTGGAGAAGTCACAGATGAGAGCCGACCTCTTCGCAACGCTGTTGTGTACTAGCACGCAGGCTCTTAGTCCTTCAAGCACATTAGAATCATAAAGGACAGTATAGCCAGCTACAAAGATGCGCTTCGGTGGCTCTTGTAAGAGAATAAACAAAGGTGGACTACAATGGTCCAAAATGTTACACACGGTGTGATCTAAGTTAAGCCTAGATCTCATAGAATTAAATTGCAAGATCGATATACTAGATGCGTCCTCAGTTCCCCTTAGAACAACCACGGTGGCGATGAAGGACCCAACCGTGTTTTTGCCAACTTAATCTTAATCAAATTAAGCTTCTTAGGGCAAGCAGCAGGGCTATTGAAGCCTTCTAGAGCATTATGGCCCTGTTTGCCGCACAGGCTGCACTTGTGTTCATCCGGAGCAAGAGTAGGGTGGTTACGGCACTCATGCAGCGGATGCTTACGGCCACACCTTGCGCAGCATGGTTCCCTCCTTGAGCATTCCCCACTGTGGTTTAGGCCACACTGGAAACATATCCTCAGGAAGGGAGAGTCCTTCGCTTTGTAGTGACAGCCAGGCAAGAACAACCCTTCCTTTATTAGCGCGTCTCTCGCTACTAGTGGTACACGAATAGCCACACCTCTGGCACTTGTACGAAGCGCCTTCCACTCCGATGGAAGGAGATGGGGCGCGTGCTGAGTCACCAGGGGCAGTAGCTCACCATTCTCCCGTATATCCTCGGTACCGTAGGACAACCAGACCTCTGGGAGAAGAGGTGGTTTGCGATTTCCTTGGAGTCCTTTCGTCTGTAAGGACGTGATGACCGCCCCTGCATCCTCATCCGAGTGGCAGCGAATAGCCACTCCTTTCTTAGTGGAGAAAATTTTCTCGACCTTACTACCGGCTATGTGTGTCTTGATCTCCTTTATTTTGCCGGTCTTGTCCTCTTCTTCAGTCATGGATATGTACACTACCGGTTGGTCAGCCATCTTCTCGGTGTTGCTAGCGACACCTTGAAGGGCCTCCCTGTAGGTGGGCTTTGGGAGTGGGGCCATGCGCTCGACAACCCTGGTTGGTCCAGGGTGACCCCCCTGTTCGCAGCGGTGGTCATCAATTCTTTTCCTCAGCTTACGATTCTCCTCCAAAACCCTTATGTAGAGCTTGTTCATATGCTGAAAGGCCGAAAATATGGCCTGTTCTTCGCCGTTGTTTAGCGTCCGATTCGCCTTGTTCTTGACTTTTGCTATGGTAGCATTGATGGTGTCCATGCAATCCGTATAAGATGGTTCTTGCTCTTCTTGGGCTTCTCTGACTGCAGAATTTCTATCTCGAGCCTCGCGACCGAGAACTGGGCGAGCTTGACTACCCTCGTTGGGGAAGTCATCTTCATCCTCGGAATACGATGCCCAAGACCTCGCTGGGCTTACCGAGGCATTCACCTCGGCTGATGTCAAAATTGACGGAGTGCTTGATGATGCAGCTGGAGCAGTGCCGGAGGCTGGCGCTCCGACGAAGTTCTTCTTGCGGCGTGGACGAGTATTGACGGTGTCGCTGTCTGATGCTGTCATAAGGAAAGAAAGCCCCGGGAGGGGAGTTAGCAGGAATTATGGGAAATAAAACTGCCTTGAGAGCAGTAGTAGTAGTAGTAGTAGCAGTAGTAGTAGTAGTAGTAGTAGTACTAGTAGCAGTAGTAGTGGTAGTAGTAGTAGTAGTAGTAGCAGTAGTAGCAGTAGTAGTAGTAGTAGTAGCAGTAGTAGTAGTAGTAGTAGTAGTAGTAGTAGCAGTAGTAGTAGTAGTAGTAGTAGTAGTAGTAGCAGTAGTAGTAGTAGTAGTAGTAGTAGTAGTAGTAGTAGTAGTAGTAGTAGCAGTAGTAGTAGTAGTAGTAGTAGTAGTAGTAGTAGTAGTAGCAGTAGTAGTAGTAGTAGTAGTAGTAGTAGTAGTAGTAGTAGTAGCAGTAGTAGTAGTAGTAGTAGTAGTAGTAGTAGTAGTAGTAGTAGTAGTAGTAGCAGTAGTAGTAGTAGTAGTAGTAGTAGTAGTAGTAGTAGTAGTAGTAGTAGTAGTAGTAGTAGTAGTAGTAGTAGCAGTAGTAGTAGTAGTAGTAGTAGTAGTAGTAGTAGTAGTAGTAGTAGTAGTAGTAGTAGTAGCAGTAGTAGTAGAAGTAGTAGTAGTAGTAGTAGTAGTAGTAGTAGTAGTAGTAGTAGTAGTATTTTCTATATATGGTATCGTACGTCTACTCAACTTGCTATTGGCTCTCTTTCAAACTTTCGTGGGGAATAGCTCAGACGCATTTTATATTAGCTCAATGACGACAATGACGAAATGCTCAACATAAGCCGAATTACAACATATACTACCGTTACTTGATGTTGTTGTTATTATTATTCATCAACATCAACAACAATATGTATTGCAGATATATGCCTTCTCTTGGTATGTTATTATAACCTATCCCATCATACACCATTGTTATGATGATGATGATAGTAATAATAATAAAAGCACTACTACTTCAACAACCATTAATACTAAGACGATGGAGGATAATGATGATACCTCACACCTCCTCCATCCTATCCCAGACAGTACTACTACTGTTGATTATGATTATGATGGTGATGATTCGT